AAAGTTATTGGTATATAAAAGTAGGCGTAGATAAATAAGTCTTCTCCAATGATGAAGTGGTGGGCAGAGCCAATATGGTGGGTTTGCTAAATATCATATCTCAGCAAATAGAAAAGATGGGAGGTTCTTATTTTTATATTCTAGCTTCCCAATATTGAACATTTGAATTTCTAATTCATACAAAACTATAGATGTTGTATTGTGGGCATCATAAAATGTAATCTGACCAAACCCAGAAGGCCACATAACGCACAAAAATCAATATTCAGCCTCTTTTTTTTTTATATATATATATATATTTAATTTCAAATTAAGGAACTAACTAATGTATAATACTAAAATTTGATACCAAATTTATTGGGCCCAACATGACCAATCTCCGTCCCACCAAACATGCTCACCCTTTCAGCCATGAGTGCATTATAATGTGATGATCAATCCCACTATTTGTTGGTAAAAGAGTAGACCAAGAATTGGTAGTGGGTGATGGTGACTAGCTGCCTTCCCTCCCTCTAGTCTTACATTGCAGATAGCCCTCGTGTAGCTTTGCACGAAATTCAAAAACAAACAAACCAAACTTATTGACATACGTTTATAAAATAATAGCTAAATAAATGTTGAATGTAAATCTACAAACATGATGACATGCCTTCTGATCCCTACCAGTCTCGATAGGGTTAATCAGTTCCACCCCTTACAAACAAGGGGTTGACAGATGTGCACTAGCTTTTTTAGCTTTGTGAATCACTGCATTTTTCTAACATGTTCTAATATGGCATTAATATTCGTATTTTCATCTTTTTTTTTAAATAATTTTTTGGATTACCTTTCATTTTCACATGATAGAACATCTTCTAGAAATTGCCATTTATACACTTTGTGAAAAAATTTTAGCAAAATATTTTGGCATTAATTTTTTAAAACATAATCTGGACATTTCCTACTTTATGAATGAATCATTAACATTTACTAGAGCCTAAGAGGTAACCACTCTGTTGTCATTTTGTTTGTTTTTAAAATATGCAGTAGTCCCCTACTAATCTAGTTTAAATCAAATGAATTGACAAATAATGAAAACATGTTTTACTCTCACAGATAAGGGTAATTTAAAAAAAAAACATATGAGAAATAATTAAGTAAACAGTTAACCACTTTATTTATATAGATTGTTTTAATATGTTAAACATAAAGATGCGAGTCATCAGAATATTTTGCAGTCGCTTACCATACTCACTAAATAGTGAACTTAACTCATCTGATTTGAAGACAGTTTGATTTCATTTGGTGAACATAATAAAAAAACTCATATTTACAAACACTTCAACTAAAGAAAATAGTATATCTATTAAAAAATAAGAAAATGGTAAATTTAAACAAAGAACCTAACATCAACAAGGTACCTTTACTAAGTCTTATGCAGTTTCCAGTCATGTAACTTCATTGTTTCATATTGTGTCCATGTGAACTTAGTTGTACCTGATGGTGACAAAAACTTTTCCACACATTGTACATTCATTACTTTGTTAAACTTGATATACTTATTTTGTTACCTACTCAACCTATCTTTAAACTCAATAGATTTACCTTATTTCAAATTATATAATATCTTGTCATTGAAGAAAATTTCTGTAGCTTTCAAAAGATATAATTTAACTCGCAAATAATTTCAGAATTTACAAAGAAAAGGAACATTTAAAGAAAGTATAATATATATTTAATATTATATAAATAGTTTAATATAATCTCATCAAGGTTCCAACCTTGGCCTGTACAAAAACTAAGGGAAGTAGTTGAAAATCAAAAACTTGATAATATTTTCTCAAGGGGCAATAGGTTCTTATCTAAAATAAGGTTATTCTTTGGGATGGGCAGAAAAATTTTGGAAAAAAAATTGGTTTAATATTATTTGCAAAACTATTCACATTTTGTAGAAATAAAAATAATTTCTTTTTCATTTTTCTTCAAGAATTATACTGAATAAATGTCAGAAAAAGATAATATATAGATTCTAAAATACTTTTGGGTTAAAATTGTTGATATATAATGAGAATTAATGTACAGAATTGACTTTAAAACTTGTATTTCAAAAACATTTATAAAGTGGCAAAGTATGAAAAGCTAAAGAAAACCCTGTCTTCAAACTTGAGATTCATTGATTTAGAATTAAATTCCTTTTTTTTAATCCTAAACTTTGTACATGAAAATGTATCATACAAGCAACTCAACTGCATTGTTTAACATTTAGAAACAATAAAAAAATTCATTCACTTAACAGACATCTGTTGCAACAGATAATTCAATATTATTTTACATGTTCAAAAGCATGTTTACAACAACGTTGGGCTTTAAGTGTTGTATCCACAACTACACAGTTATTCAAATGCTTTGTAACCAACCAAGGGAAAGAATGATCATAACTCATTTCATTTATTAAGGAAATTACATTTACTCAAAGTAAAGATCTTGTATTTTTGTATATCCTTCAAGTAGCCTAAACTTAATGAAATAACATAGAAATTAGAATAACTTTAAATTATTTTGTAAAATAAAACTTTTGATAGTTAAGGTTTGAGAACAATTAGGGAATGAAAAAGAATAACACTAGAAAGTCAATTCACATAATACAGTATTATTGTGTTAACAAGTAACAGCAGTGTTTAACTTATCCACACTAGCTACAGTAGTTTCACAATGAAGGTTTGTTTTTGTGCAAAGTACACAAGGGCTATCTGCACTAGCTGTCCCTAATTTAGCAGTGTAAGACTAGAGGGAAGGCAGCTAGTCATCACCACCCACTGCCAACTCTTGGGCTACTCTTTTACCAACAAATAGTGGGATTGGCTGTCACATTATAACACCCCCATGGCTGAAATAGCGAGCATGTTTGGTGTGATGGGGATTCAAACCCATGACCCTCAGATTGGGAGTCGAGTGCCTTAACCACCTGGCCATGCCAGGCTACACACACAATGAAGGTGTGATACCAGTTAACTTTTTTAAATTTATCTGTGTAACACTGTTAACAAATTCTCAGTATGTTTTACATGAAAGAAGAGACTTTGACTGTAACAATATGATACTTTGGATTAATCAGTGTTGATCATATATTAGTCCTAAAGTAGTCAAACTAAGATAAAATAACATATATTTAGATATTTGATTATTTTCATAACATTAAGTCAATTTATTCATAGTTTTGATTATTCAAGTAGTTTTCATGACACTAATCAATGTAATTGTTGTTTCCAGCTCTAATTTTCATGATATGAAAATCAGACAGAAACGTTAAATATTATGCCATATTATTATCAAGAAATATGCATGATTAAATACTGTTAATTTGTCAATAATATTAAAGTTTAGATGGAAGGAACAATAATATAACTAATATACAGCACTTTTTTTTTTCAATATACAATTCTTGAATAAATCCTATTTTTCTCCACTGAGGAGGAAGTACTAATTTTAAAACTTAATATTTGAGACAATAAGATTCAGTATTAGTGCTTCTAAGAATTGTTTATAGAAAACTGCATTACTAAAATTCTACGTGCAGAGATACAATTACAAGGTATGTTAATTGGTAATTAATTATCTGAGCTAATAATATATAGCTTCAGTAATGAGTGTTCTGCATTTAATACTGCTGACAGTAATTTGTACCATAAGCCTGTCTTTTCAAATTATAAAACTTGTGTTTTCTTAACACAGAGACCTTAATCTTATTATGTTCCAGATAGTCTTGTAAGTTTCAGTATTAAAGAGAACTTCTTTTGTTTCCTAATAGAAAATAATTTAAGATATCTTAACCTATAAAATAGCTCTTTCATTCATGTACTCATCTAAGTAGCTCTCTTCTGAATGATGAAGTGGATTTTTTTCTAGCAGAACTTCCACATTTAGCATTTGTATGAAGTAAAAAGTTTTATGTGTTTGTGAAAAACATAGGAACTAAAACAGCATGTGCTGCTTAACTCATGTCTGCAAACACAAATGACCCAGTGACAGTTCTTAGCTTTGTACTGTTCTTTATAGTAACTAATTTTATTGAGTTGTCTTTTATTAATTCTACTTTTTTGGTTTTTGTGTTCATTAGTTTACTCCTCCTTATTTTATTTTTTCAGTGAGGTTTACATATAACTTTCATCTTAAATGTTAAAAAATGTGATTGTTTTAATTATTATTTTCTATACTCCCAATCAGCTGCATTTTATCCAGTCTTTTTTTTTTTTTTCAAAGATCTGTTGATAGCACTTGGTTCATAGTTTATTTTTAATAAGAGACTGCTCTAAGATTAATTTTGGAATGACATTTTGGATGCCTTGGCCTTTACAAAGTCAGAAATTTCTGGTTCTTAATTGTGTGGTTTACTTGCTTAGAGAATTGAATTGATAGGATGTAAAACATGACCTCTTACAGAGATCTTTAACACTATTTCTGTTAAAAATAGAGTTCAAAGACTGTTGAAGATGAATCAAAATTTTCTATTAAGTTCCTCCATTAATTCCCATAGATTTCTCCATTCTAATTAGTGAATAGTAACAATTGTACATTTTGCTGTGGCAGCATTATCGGATTTCATAAGTCAAATGTTTTGTGTTCTTCAAGTCACCATGTGACAACCAGTGAAACTAAAGTTCAAATCTTGTAAACATTACACTTACTTCCATAATATCTTAACAGTATCTGGTCTAATCCAACTTGCTAAAGCAGCTAAGTGTGCATATATGTACAAAATCAAACATTTCTATTGTAATACCTCCTCCCCCTAATTTTTAGTTTAGACCAGCTTTGGGTTTTCTTGCTAGCACAATAACACAGTTCTGATAAATATTTCCAAATCCAGAAAAACATTTAAGTTTTCTATTGAAAGTGGGTCCAGTAAACTTGCCAGAAGGAAACAGCTGCACCTATTCTTTCTTTAATAACATATCAAATCAAATTTTATCATAATTAAAAATATTATTTATAATGTTTTTTCTCAATCATTGTTTTTTCAGAAGTTCATCTCTCCTGAGTGTAAGGTATGGCCAACTGTGAGCCGAGTTGATGACATTTATGGAGACAAAAACCTATTTTGCACATGTCCTCCTATGGAAGCATATGGAAGTGAATAATAATGATTGAAAGCAATTTTAGGAATTTTAGAAAATGTTTACTGAATTAAATTTAAACATTTATAGAGTTGTGTAAAGATGGTGTTTAACCATAATATACTTCTTTTTGTCAGCTTCAGTTGAATATGTAGTAATCCTTTGGGGGTCATATTGCTTAATTACCTCTGAAGTGAATTGATATCTAGCCCTTTTGAAAAACTAATTAGTGCTGAAAAATAAACTATTTCAATATCTAGTAAAATTTGAATACCATGAAAATTCCTGCATTGTGAAATGGCATAAGCTGTATAAAGTATGTATGGTATCACATTTCTTGTTACCATTTTTACTTTGGCAGTTTTATATATATAAAAGCTCATGCAATGTATTGGAGAATTGAATTTAAATTTCTTATGTATATTTACATTGTATGTCATTTAAAAGTTTTAAAGGTTAACTTGTGATACTACAGTTCTAAAAATCAGTTAAGAATGTGGTCAGAAGTAATTTTACTTCATAATCTAAATTATGTAAAATATCAGATCTAAGTTGGTGCAGTACTTCTATCAAGTACAAAAACATCTAGGTTAAAAATTCGTAATAAATTTCTGTTAAAATACTGTTGAAAATAAAAATGTAGCTCTGTAATTCATCTGTACTTTTGCAATCTGTAGGTTGCAGGATCAAAACCATGTACTAAATAGGTTTTGCCCTTTCAGTTATAATATGATGGTCAATTAGGGACTATGACAAATAGCCTTAGTAGCTCTGCCATAAACAAATGAATGTGTTTTTCATGCATTACATTTATATTTCAATTTATCTTAATCAGGGATAATTTTGCAGCAATGAGACAATTAAGACCAAAGATTTTGTTAAGATTAGTTTTAATTTACAATATTGTATGTTTTTTGTTTTTTTTGTCAATAGCAGAAATTGTTTTCAAATATTCTAGTCTGCAATTCCTCAAAAAAAAATTCTCGTTTGTTCATCAGAGTTTTGATTTTCACATATCTTGCCTACATTACGACTTACCAGAATAGTACTAAAGTGGAGAAAACACTTTAATGTATTGAAAAAAAATTGTAAAATTTTTCTGCCATTAATGTGTTGGTTATATTATTTATATCTTATATATATTAAGCATCAAATTTAATGTGAAAATTTATTAAAAGACAATATGTCATTCACTTTTCCTTTTGTTATCTTGAACTTATTAACAGTTGTATTTTGCCTCCTTCACTTATGATAACTTTCAGGTACATGTTTGTAAAAGTCACAAGAATAGAATTTTGTGATGTTTTGGAATTATAACAAAATTTAAATGTTTTAAGTACTTATTGACATTTGGAAAACCTGAAAACATCACATCTTAACTTCCCTTTGGATGGGGGTGGGGATAATGACATAATAATAACAGGTTAGTAAAACTGTGTATAATGTTTAGTGCCATTAAATATTAGTAAAATTCAAATGTTTACTTGTTTGTGAAGCTACAATGTCAGTGTTTTTCATTAAAATACACATTCCTATAAGAATGTGTGTCAAAATGCCTGTAATTTGTTTTATTTAGGAATACTATACATTATACTTTCTATTTGAGCTTCCTAGAGCATAGGATATCTCTCTTTCTCTCTCTCTATATATGCACTTTTCAAGTTATGTATTTGAAAGAAATTACAATTTAATGATATTTTGTGGTAATGACCTTATTTTAACAACCCTCCTATATTGTTAAAGTGGATGATGAAATAAGAAATTCTTCTTAGACTTATAGATAGATTCATAATTTGTTGTTTGAATCATTGCTGCCTACTCAGATCACTAGCTGTTATATTTCTTTTGTAATGTTAACTGGAGTGTGTTGGAAAATTATTTCATATTAATCCATTATTAGCTCCAAAAGCAATTCATTGTGACCAAAATGTTAAATAATATATTTTAATATCAATTGTATGAAAGAGCAAAGACGTATACAAACAAAACATTGGTGAACTAAACATTTGAGGCATTAATAATAATTTTTTTTTATTAGCTTGGATACTAACAGTTGAAAATATCTATAAGGGTAATGAAGATGTATTCATGAAATTTTACAAAACTTGGCAAAAAGTAAGTTAATGAAAAAGGCTATAAAATAAGCAAAGAATAATCAAAAGCTCAATTCTAGAGAGAGTACTTTTATGCATAATAACCTCCGTCCTTTATGGAACACTCATGTGTCAGCACAGTGTCTAGAATTTGGCATTTTAAAATAGATATCATAGTTATTTTGTGAAAAACTTATTTTTGTAGCTTCTTCAGTGGTGTTTATAATTGTAAAATGTACAACAAGTATGATTTAGCCTAGAGACCATAAGATTCATTAATAAAATATCTGCACTATTAAACTTGTCCTAAAATTACCTTGCAGTAATGCTCTACGTTCCAGAAATGTACAACTCCAGTTTTGTGAAAATTGCATATTTTTCACATTAATTGTTTTTCACATTATCAAGGACTTTTTCTTTCTTAAATAATACTGATATAGTTTTATAGAGAGTAAATTTACTGTTTAATACCTTTCAAAAGCAGAGGAAGAAGAATAAATACTGAAATGTAATGAATATAGTAACTGTGTAACTTTTGTTCTTTGTCAAAAAATCTACACTAAAACCAACTGAAAGTCATATTACCTAAAAATTTTTACAGATGAAATGGTAAAGCCCAACACATGAAAACTACACACGTACACTGAAAACATTGTATAATGCTCTAGTTACATTTACTAATCTTACTAATTGTTACCTCCACAGTGTACTTTATGTAGTCCCACATGTATACACTGGCAGGTTCAGGATCTTCATAAAGGATAGCCCTAGTGTGGCTGAGGATCAAGGGACCCATTTTAAGTGAGAAGAGATTATAGAAAGCAGCATCAGAGACAACATTAGCTATGGTAATGTTGGCAAACCCCTATTATGCTAGACCCACCAGTGTATATAAACGTAAGCATGTCTATTCTCATCATACAATTACATTTTAACATAGAAACTAAAGGAAAGACATAATAAATCATTTACAGAGCAATCTATATGGGGGTAGGCAACATTTTCATGAAATACACTGCTTTGTAAAAATGTTGTACAGAACAATACTGTAGTATGCTACAGATTTTTCTTAGCAACAGAGAAAGACTTCACAACATCCTGTTCAGTCATATATTTTAGCTCAGGTCCCGATTTGGCAGGCTAGAAACGTAGTACAGGAATTGTGAAGGTTCAGAAGTATTCAGATTTAATTTGAATAAGAAAAAATCCTTTTCTTAGCAAACAGAAATTTAAAAAACAAGTTGGATATTTCTTTGAAAAAATAATCTGGCTGCAACATGGATTATGTGATTGCTATCTGTAAAATATATAGCAATTTTCAGCAGTAATAAAACTGAAAAAAAAAAGTCTTTTAATTGAGCTCTGCAAGCCAGCCAATAATATGGCAAAAGACACAAAAGCTTGAGGTTTGCAATTACCAACATTAAACAAAAAATTAAAAGCATTTAAACAGATAACTTGAGAAATGTATTACATATAAGAAAAAATTAGATGCTTCACAATTAATATATTGAAATAGTGCCATATTGAATTAATCTTGAAATCTATATAAACTTGTGTGCATACAGTGATCTATAAACAGTTAAATATATTTTTTGGGTGAGAAGTATTTATTGAATGAGGCAAGATCACTTTCTGTTTTATATCCTTCAGTTGTGACATTAGCTCTGCTGCTGAATCACTAATATATGATTGTTGGGTTTATATATCTTCAGGAATTGGTAAAACTACATTAGGTGAAGTCGTAGTAAACACCTATAAATACTATTCTGTCCAGCAGAATTCATGTGGTTATTTTAAACATTATTCTGTCAAGTAGACTTGTGTGGTTACTTCAGAATGTTACAGCAAGAAGGACTATATCAGAAACTAACCATTCACAATTTAAATAGTAAAAGTAATAGCCCAGAAATTTAGAGGTTATGATGTTACAGCTGGAAGACAATCATTTAGTTCGTAACTATTAAACTGTCAAATTCAATCTTGAGTTGTAAATGCTGTCTTCATTTGGCTTTGATTACCTCTACCTGTAAGTCTTCTCCTTGAGCTTTAAGGCTGAAAATTTTGTGCAGTCAAACAAAGCATGGAGAGTTAAAAGCAATCTACAGCTTCATTGGGATAAATTCTTGGATTAGTCTGTTACATTTTATTTTCTCCAGCTTTTATCTCTAAATCTCTGTTGAAGACTCCACAATGCCTTCTGTATCCCTGATAATTTTCTGATGTGTAACTATTTAAAAAATTTTTTCACTAATTCCAAGATTTTTTTATAGAAATAAAATTAAAAAGCATTAATAGTGAGAGAAAACAACCACCATAAATTAACTTACAATAGCTCTTAGATCCACCAACACTTCTTACTTTTTAAAATCAAGTAACATTCACAATTGTGCACTTATGTTAGGATTTGACTAACTATTGTTCTCAATTTTTAGTGCACACTGGTGGAATTTAGACATCTTGGCAATGAAGTTGGTAAATAAATTATCTTTACTTTCGAAGTAATACTTTCAGCCAATGTTTCACAATTACGGCTTCTTTATGGCTAGTAATACAATAACTATTCTTGCACTACTAGCCTTCATAAAGCCACAGTGGCAAGATATTTGCTGAAATAAAAATTTTTTCAATATTATCTGGAGGGTAAAGGTCGTTTTTTCCTAACTTTATTGTTCCTTGAGTTTATATAGAACAAAAACTACATAAAGTCAGAATTTTATTCATTGATGACTATGTTGTGCTGAACAGAAACTTTTAAACCCTGGTTTACAAGATTTTTCCATCTAGCCAAGCATTTTTGCCAGAGGTTTCTACAACTACCTTGATGCTATAAAAGGTTATGTTAGAAAAAAAAACATAGCAATTAATTTCGATTAATTATCATTTCTATTGAACAAACTTGTAACATTTATGCTGAACCCTGCTGTTCTTTAGTAACACAACAGTTTGTTTAATCAATTATTTAAATTTTCCTTCCCATAAATCATCAGCAGTTAAAGAAGGCACAATAACAGGCAGCTTTTATGATATGTAGAACAAATAATGGCAAATACAAGATTCACGAAGAACCAAGTTTCTTGTGCATGTGGCATGGCAGTGTAAAAAAACAAAAATTGAGCACAATCTAGTATTATCACAGAGTGAAATATCACCTGATTGTCCCATGTATAAATGACAAATTCAGTTCTTGAATCTTCTGTTTCAAATACCTGAAAGATTTTAAGTATCATAGCACTCTTCTGAGTATACTGACAAGTATTTCAGATGTTAAATGTTATGATAATATAATTATGCTTAACAGCTGTACTATAAAGACACACTTAGTAAAATTGATTTATGAGGGACACTTTGTTGGAACTAATGTCTGGATTCTTTTATTGGATTTTCTTCAGTCGAAACATCATCTTGAACAAAAAAAAAAACTTCAGGTGGTTGTCCATTACAAATCCATTTTAATAAAAACATGGCCTTAAGTGGTATACTTAGTGCTAAAATTCAAATTCATTATATAAGATTCACTAATCAGATGATAAATAGACATACTTGTACAGTTCTTGCATATTATCATTCATCTTGCAGGTTTTTGCTGGATATAAAATCCTTTTTGTAACAAGATATGCCAGAACAGTTCAAATAGAACTACTAAAACACCAAATTTAGTTTTTAAAGTAATTGCTTTCAAGTTCAGCAGCTGTATGCTTAAACAACTTCAGTTACCATTCAAACATGGAAAAATATGCTCTTCTGTACAACTTTTAGTTTCATTGAAGAACATATTCCTATAGAATTATACTCGTACCATTGGTAAGTAATTATGGAGAAAAGCATGACAATATGAAAGCACGAGATTTTGACAGAAATCTGACATTTTTGAAATATATTTCATTATTCTTGGGTTGTGCTTAAATTCTGGGAGAAAATATAGGGTGAAGGTCATGTTAGACTATTGGCCAAAACTTCATCTCAGTTCTATCTCATCCTGTTCCTATCTTGTGTATACTCTTTGTCTATAAGATGTGAGAGTAACCTATTATAAGATTTACCTTATTCAAAATTCAGTAAATGTACTATTATGTTAATAACCATTGTTTTTCTGTTCATGTTGCTTCACAAGTGTCAATGCAGCAATGTTAAACTTCACTGTGAAGTTGTAACACCTTATTTTATGTTTTTAGCTGTTGTTAATATTTCTCTAAAACTATTTACAATAGTCAACAGAATTTGTAACATGTGGCTTACACACAAAGAAAACAAAAAATATTTCTGGTTGGTCTTTCTAGCTAATTTCCTAGGAGAGGCAACAGTAACATAAATATATTTCTATTATAGATATTTTTTAAACCAAAAAAATCTTTGCTTATTCTTTATAAATCATATTACATGACCACAGTCTGTATATTCAGCAGACAGAGTGAAGAAAGCTTATTCCTTTTCTTGCATAATGGTGGGGGAGAATGATGATTTCATGTATGGGAATCTTTGAATAAACACAAATGAAAAGTAGCTGTGTTTTTAAGTTAAGAACATAATATAGAAAATAGCAATAAATAAACAATCTTCACCAGAGGGAGCTGTGTTTGGGGTTCACAGTATAGATCAGAAATTGGTGACTATTTTTTTTTTTAATCTTGTACATAATTTAACAATAACAGAACATTAAACAATTCTTTAAAATTATTTGCATTAAATCTGCTTATAACAAATAAAAATCATTCTATACAGGATGAAAGTCTGTTCTCTTAATTCTTGTTCGTGCTCTAGTTAGTTGACTCTCCATAAAGTACAGCTTTCTTATGTTGTTTCTTTTAATGGGACATTTTAAAATATTGAATAAGAGTTTTGTTCCATAGCATACCCAGGCATAGTTGGTGATGGCTGCACTTTCAAAACTCCCAGATATTGTGCAATAATAGTTATTTTTATTTGTCCTGCTTCACAAAATTGGTGTTATTGCAGCAACATTAGACTTTACTGTAGAGTTGTAGTAACTTATTTCAATAAGACACTATCATATGCAACAGTTTTTTTTTGTTCATCTGGTTTCCAAACACGGGTGTTAATGCAGCAACATTAAACTGTTGTAGCAACTGAATTTACTATTTGATTGAAATGTAAAGACACATTTATTGTGTATTTGATATCTGTTTCTATTACTTTATTCACTATCACATAATGCACATTTCTGTTTTAGATATACATGTGCTAGTCTGGTGGCTTTGACCCCTCTATTCTTTCTTATATTTTATAATTTTGATATCCAAGCTGCCTTGAAAAGTTATATGTGTATATTACTGAAACTGTTGCAGAAGCTAATAGCTGTAATTATGTGTGTCTAAAACTAAGTTTCCATCCTATGTAAAATTGAAATTTCCATGTTTTGTTCAGTTTAGTTTGTATGTGGAAAGTTGTTCAAAATCTTAATCAGAGAATTGGATAATGGTCCAGGATTTTACCAGCACAAGTAGACAGAGGTTTAATGCAGAATATGTTTCAGGTGCAAACCTGGCATAAGTTGGTTTT